ATTCAAAGACCAGCAAATAGAAGTAGAATGACTGTGGCAAAAGGAATAAAAGATAATTCCAATAGTGACAGGTGCTTAGGTGCAATTCGAAAATATCTGGAGCAACGCCATTGACGTTGACCATCATCAGTATTGACCACCAACATTGTCCGTCAAGTACAAAAGGCAGCTTTACTTGGAATAGTTTACATCCTGACACAATACCTTTAATACCATCAAACAACATTGGTCAAAAATGTCAAACCCATTCTAAATATTTAACTAATTATATGACGAATAATAAAGAGCAAAGTTTTAGTTTTCTGTAGGTTTGCTTACCAAGTTTTCAGAATTACCATCCCCCTCTCTCTCATCAAAGTTATCTTGCTGATGGCCACAAACGGAAGAATCAAAGATAAACTATAGAGCCCTCTGACTAGCTAGAATAAGGGACAGAATCATCACTGAGTGGAAGAGAACTACTGTAGAAATATGCAGCTTCTTATGCAGTGTGCTTGGTTTTTGTATCCTTAATTACCAGCTGTGCAAAGCATGGTTAAAATTTAACCACCATTGTTTCAGCCTATCCAATTACAGGGTAAATAAGCTTATACTTAGGCAGTACTCAAATGCACTCTATTGTTTGTTCAAGATATCATGTTCAATCAAAAGCCAAGAGGAATAAGGTGGAACCTTTCAAGATTAACAAACTGTATTGGAAGGGACAGATTTGAAAAGATGCTCCCAGATTTCTTCTGATTTTGGGCTATTATAGACTTCCCTACATCAAGCAGGTTAAGATGAAGTGTGACCCAACCAATCTGTAATGATATGTAGGAATAATCTTCAAAGATGGGGAAGAACCACAGCTAGGGGAATGTTGGATAACAGGTTGCTTAGCCCTACAGCAGAAATGTGGGTGTGGCAAACATATCAAAAGAGACCTTCCCTTGTTTCTTGGAGTGTAAAAGAAAAATGGGGGAAAGTGTAATTTCAGACTTGCAAGCCTCTATTAATTAAACTTGCTCTAGAGTAGAATTGGATGGTGTGATGACTCAGCAGGTAAGATGCTGGACTTGTCAGCTGGAAGGCCGGCAGCCAAGTTTCAAGACTGAACATTGTGTGACAGGGGTTAGCATCCGTCATCACCTAGCTCCGGCCCACCGAGCAGTTCAAAAGCATGCAAATGCGAGTAGATAAATAGGTACCACTTCCTCTCCTTTCCTCTCCTCTCCTTCCTCTCCTCCCCTCCCTTCCCCTCTCCATTCCTCTCCCCTCCCTTCCCCACCCCTTCCCTCCCCTCCTCTCCTTTCCATTCCTTCTTTCCTTCTCTTCTCTTCCTTTCCCTTTCCTTCTTTTAGAATTAGTTCATCTGGACACGTTTCTTGCCTTGACCACCTTGTAGGGCTGATCCCTTCCTTCCACTCCAGTAAATTTGGATCAAGATGTGGTCAACCGTTTTCTAGAAACAGGAAATGAAAGCTTTGGGAAAGATAGTCAATGCAAGCATCTATACCAGTTGAATTTACCCTCCTAAGCCTTGTTCCACTCTTCCAAACCACTCCTGCCTTTGCTTATAGGAGGAAATGCACTTTGGGCAAACACTGGAAGAGGAGCTCTTAACAGCTGCTTCCTGGTACAGTTGAGATTCAGAGTCATATAAGGCAAAGCTCTACGTGGCCTTTCGCCAGGCATCCTACACAGCTCGGCTACATTTGTGGCCCCTTCTGGTTTAATCAGGGAACTCCAGGGGGGTTTCCTGTCGAAGAGGGGTAAGTAAACATAGACAGCTGCTAAGCAGGGAGCCTGGAAACCCAAACCTTTTGTGTTTGTTAAGTGTGGCTGAGGCCCCATTTCCTTCAATATATTACATAAACATCCCTTCCATCTCAGAACAGAAGCCTCATATGGTCCGCAGTGATGAGTTTAGCATATGCAGCAGGAAGATCTATGAGCTCAGTAGATTTGACTGCAACTTTGGGAACAGCAGCTGCCGTAAAAGTGGATGAAGTCACTGGCTTCTTTTGTTGAATCAGCTTGGTGGAATCAGAAGCTGGTTGGGCTGGAGACTTGGCTCAGCCCAGGTTGGCAGGACAATTGGAAATTGTGTCTCTGGGTGGTACCCCACATGATTTATATGAATGGCTGATTGCAATGAAGTGACAAGGCGCTCCCATGAGTCCCATTGCATTCATATATATTCTGAATGCGTATATTTGGAAGAGTGGGGAACAAGATTGAGCAGCAAATGAGAAGGAGAAGCTGAGGGTCAGCCAGCATATTTTTACTTCCATGGATAAATGGATAAACACTTTCTATTAGGAATTAGCAAAACCCCTATGCCTACCCTGTTCGTGAACATTCCTAGTTTTGCATATTGTATTCTAGATGGTTAAAGACATTGAGCTTGTGAGCTGGAAAATTGACAGCCTGGGTTCGAGTTCTGAGTGCTGTGTGACGGGGTGAGCTCCTGTTGCTCACCCCAGCTCCTGCCCATGTAGCAGTTTGAAAGCATGCAAATGCAAATAGATAAATAGGTACCATTTTGGTGGGAAGAATGTTCTTTGTGTCTTTGGCATATAGCCCTGCTGGCCACATGGCCATGGAAAATGTCTTCAGCTAAGAAACAGAAATGAGAACAGAATTGGACAGGGAAAATCTTTACTGGAATTCTGGAAATAATAGCAAATACTGTTTGTGACCCTATGCCTGGTTTTTTTTTTTTTTTGAGCTTTGGACTTTTATCTCATCTTATATCTAATTCCCACAGGACTGTCTTATGTCTATTTACCCATGTAGTATGGCTGTATTATTATTATCCTTCTCATCTTCTCTACTACCTTCTTTTATTGGCATCATCATCATCATCATCATTTTTTATTCATTAAACATGAAACTCAGTCAACTGAACATTTAAAAACGTATCACAAATATCATTGACTTGATTATAATATAATAATATAATCATTATTATTATTATTCTGTATTTTGCATGTACATTGAGAGCTTCTGCATCAGAAACAAATTCCTTGTGTGTCTAATTACACTTGGACAAATAAAACTTCTATTCTATTCTATTCTATTCTATTCTATTCTATTCTATTCTATTCTATTCTATTCTATTCTATTCTATTCATTATTTCTATTCATTATTTCTATTTCTATTATTTCTATTTCTATTCCTATTCCTAATTGAATTGCAGGTTTGTTTTGTTCTAAATGATGCCTGTTCTCCAGCTGGGCAGCCCTGCCCCTATGATGTTGTTGTACTGTGGCTCTTCCCGTCTCCCGAAGCTCATTAGAGGAAATCTTGATGCAAAGGAAACAAACCCATAAATCCTACTGAATGGGCTTGTCTTCTACTCCTGCTTTATGGCTTAGTTGCAATAGACTTCTTTGAAGACATGTCAGAATAACTTGAAGAGGAGTGGATTGCAGGGAAGAAGTTCAAGGCTCAATTTGATTTCCCACCTCCCAAAATGAAAGAGGCAATCATTGTTTATTTGGCCCTAGGTAGATATGTATTCTGAAAGAGTGTGCTGGAAATTGTTTTGTGGCAAACGAACCCCACCTTTGCAGACCATAAACCTCCTCTTCCTGGGAAAGCAGTCAGACAGTTTCTTGAACAAAATTTCTCCTTGATTTACAGACTATAAGCTCATTCATCACTAAGAGCAGAAGGATGAGGTTGGTGGGTGTGGTCATGTATTCCCACCAGGAGGATAAATTGAAAATATTACTTCCCTGAACAAATCACTCCCAATTTTTTTTATAGCCCAGCTCTCTGGCATCTTGCACACCAATTTGCACAAGCTGACTCTGATGTACCTGGGAAAGGTAGACTGGGGTAATGGGTATTGCAATTTACAGTAATATCACACCACAGTGGGCAAGGAGAAGACCATGACCGAGATACCTGCTCAGTTTGCCACCCAAGGATGTTCTTAATTGGCAATTTCAAATCATTTTAATTGATCACATCCCTTCAAAGAAAACAGAAACAGAACATAAGCTTAGGATGCCTATGGGGACCCAAAGTTATGAGGATTCCAATCAATCAATCAATCAATCAATCAATCAATCAATCAATCATAATAGAGTTGGAAGGGACCTTGGAGGTCTTCTAGTCCAACCCCCTGCTCAAGCAGGTGACCCTATACCATTTCAGACAGGTGGCTGTTCAGTCTTTTCTTAAAAAACCTCCAGTGATGAAGCACCTACAACTTCTGAAGGCAAGCTGTTCCACTGGTTAATTATTCTCGCTGACGTTTCTCCTTAATTCCAGATTGCTTCTCTCCTTGAGTAGTTTCCATCCATTGTTTCCTGCCTTGCTTTCTGGTGCTTTGGAAAATAGGTTGGACTCCCCTGCCTTTAGAGCAGGAATGTCTATCTTGGCAACTTTAAGACCTGTGGATTTCAACACCAAGAATTCCCCAGCCAGCATGTTAAAGTTGCCAAGGTTGGAGACCTTTACTTTTGAGTAAAATAAAGAGACCTGTTTGCAAATAGCCTTGTACGGCTTCATTTCCCTAGTCCTTCTCTTGGGGTCTTTTGGAACTTGCTGCTTGGCTGACGCCGGGCACTGATTTTACTTTCTAATGTGCTGTCTTCAATTTGGTTCAACTCAGAAGCCCTTTTGGCCAGCTAAACTACAGAAATGCTCTTGTGTCAGGGGCAGCTGCTTATGGCCACAAGGAGTTGATGCATTTTCTTCAGCCATCAGGCAATAGGCTTGCTTTGGGCTTAGTGTGTTGTTTGAACTCAGCTAGTTGTGAGGTTTGTAAACCACAGTTTATAGCTTCATGATGCAGCCAAGCCAAGTTTGACCTCATCCTTCTGTTTCATATTTCTGGCCCTCAGAAAGTTGCTGCAGCTTTGTGCAATTCAATAAAACAAAAACACTGCAGTTTCTGGTAATTCCCTTTTTGAAAGGGAGATGGAACAGGCAAACTACCTGCATTACAGGATCCATGAGGATGCATCACCAGGAACAAAAAAAAGCACAAATTGTTCTGCAAGACTCAGGTTAACAAATAGCTTTATTGGCCATTTTACAAAAGGATTCATTAGCTACCAAAGAAATCCCCACTGAGCCCTGCTATATGGCAGGCAGGGCGAAGCACCTGGGCAGCATCTGATTATGTGCTTGATGTGATGGGCTCTTTCAGGGCCCAATGTGAGCTGAATGTCTGCAGATCCACCTCATTTTCTGCCTCATCTCCCACTTCTTACCCACCACTGCTAGTGGTACCAATCTCCCCATCTCGAAAAATGCCCAGCCTCTTCCCAAACAGACCCACTGAGGCTCAAGGCTTGAATGTCTCTTTGTCTCCATTTATAAATACAGTTTCCTTGCCTCTCAGGGACTGTCAACCTCCAGGAAAACAAACCTATTTACATGGAGCCAGGCCGACTGCTCCTTTGGAAGGATCATAAATTAGATGCACAGAAAACCACCAGGCCCCAAGTCTACAGATGTCAAATTCATAACCTTGCTTTGCTCATGCCAATGGCATTTGGTTTCATCTTTTCTCCTGAAAATGCAAGAAGAGAACACATCAGTATGCTTGTTCCTGTAGTTTGTTTGCCTCTCTGTATTGCGTCATCCAGGTTTTTTAAAAAAGGTGCCCATTTATTTTCTTCTCGAAGTCCATCACCCCAGGCTGCTTAGAACACAGGCCGGCCACCTGTAGATCACACATCTGGATCCATGCCTACTTTTCTCACTGCCTGGTTGAGCCATATCTTGGCTAGTTGCCAGTAACTGACCCCATGTGGTATTTCCTAGCAGTTTATGGGGAGGCACTTAGATTATTGGCATCTCAAAGCTAAGAGCAACAGAAAACTAGCAGCCATCAGTGATTTCTGAGGAAGGAAGAAGTAACTGAGGGAGAGGGAAGAAGCTCTGGTCTATTTTGATGTGCATGAATGCAGATTATTACCAACCTGTAAGTGTTTTGGCTCACACATATCTCCAAGATTTTAAGTGTTATTTTATTTTTTTTCAATGATTTGCCAATTCCCTGCTTAACTTATCTAATTTTTCTCTAAACCAGAGGAGAAATACTCTCAGTTTAGACCGGATTGCCCAATCCAGTAGTGATGGAGGTGGATGGTTCAGAGAACCGGTAGCAAAAATCCCTGCCCCACCCCCTCTGCCCAGCCGAGCCGCGTGATCATCAGAGGCTTTTATTTTTACTTTTAAAAGCATTTTTTTCTATAACCTCTTTGGCCAAAAAAATGCTTTTAAAGGTAAAAAAAAGCCTCTGATGATTGTATGGCTCAGCTGGGATTATCAGAGGCTTCTAAAAGCATTTTTTTCTGCAACCTCTTCGGCCGAAGAGGTTGTAGGAAAAAGAATGCCTTTAAAAGATTCTGGCGATCCCAGCTGAGTTGCCTGATCGTCAGAGGCTCCTAAAAGCATTTTTTTCTGCAACCTCTTTGGCCGAAGAGGTTATAGAAAAATGCTTTTAAAAGTAAAAAAAAAAAAAAAAAAAGTTGGCCACGCCCACCCAGTCACATTACCCCACCACCCCACCAAGCCACACCCACACCCACAGTAACAAATTTTAGATTTCACCCCTGCTTTAAACCTACTTTGATTATTGTCTCTAAAAGTCAAGTTGCCTATGACTGGACTCCCTAGTGCAACTACTACAAAGTTGAAAGAGATCTGAATCAAGTCTCTAGCATAATAAGGACATGATTGGGGTTAAAGTTTGCCTGGACAAAGTTCCCCTAGATGCAATGACCTAGGAATCTTGTGAGGAATATAATTTAGGTAGTTTAAGACCTCACAAGTTTGCTCATTAATGCAAAATCAAAATGATAAATCTTGGTTTATAAACCCTATTGATCTGTTTAATCCAACACTCTAAAATATAATGCTTTGTTTTATCTTAAACATGGCATACAATTTAGCAGGTTGTATAATGTAGGCACTGAGAGCTAATCTAATACTTGGTTTGTCTGCTCCATATCAAATGAACAATCCAGAAAAGTCAGAGTAGAACGAAGAGTTAATACTCTTCCCAGATTCTGTGATTCTAATACACATCAGGATACATCATTCTTTTTAGTTGTTCTTGAGATCTTGATGGCTCTATCAGCTCTGTATGACAGCCAGCCAACCCTTCTCAGCCCATCCCAAGCAAGGGTCTTGAACCCCTCCTTCAATCATGCAAAAGAAAAGGGGAAATGTGGCAGTAGGAAGCCTTGTGCAGTCACCTCGTTGCGATCCCCTGTTGTCCGGCTGCGTCCTGATCCGTGGCCTCTGGATACCGTGGAACCCCTGGAGGAAGAGCTTCCTGTTGTAGAGCAATTGCTTGACATCTGACTCCGGGAGAGAAAGGTGGGCTTGTTGTAGGGAACAATTTCTTCTTCTGCCAAGAGACACCCAACAAGAGAGTTTAAAACGAACTAGAAAGAAGCAACAGTTTCTCTAGCAATGCACACCACAGCTGTATTGCAGTCTACACAGTTTTGGAAACAAGGATGGGATAAAAAGAAGAATAATCACCAACTCATCAATCATCCTTTTTTAAGTAAGTAGATGTTTGTGAGCACTCTCAAAATCATGAGATAACAGTTGTTGATTCATTTGAAGTCCTTGAATGAACATCATCCATACCTGTGATCATTTCAAATGGCCTCTAATTCCTGCTCTTATTAAAACCAACTTAAGAAGCAATTTCCAAGCATCTATCTTGGAAAAAATTCAGTCCAGAGGACTGGGCTCATTACAAGGAACCACACTAGAGATCCTACAGCATGCAATGGTCCTTATCAACTGCCTAATTCAACAAAGCTGCATTACAAATAAAAGTTGTGGGTCTTGGAAGAGATCCCCTAATCTCCGTAATTAGGTCTTGTGGAGATGCCAAAAAGTGAAGGTGAGTTAGAGGTGAGAAGAGTGATTCACTGTAGAAACCTCTGCTTGTAATGGCCACCTGCGTGATCTAGAACAGGGCTGTCAAACTCACGGGCCACTGGCTGGATGCATCACGCAATCCCACGTCCACACCCCGTTTAGCGAAGGGGAAAAAAGTTGTGATGCGTCACATGACGACACCGTGATGATGCAAGTTTAACACCCCTGATCTAGAATATCCTGTTTCCCTCAGGAATTCTTTACTAGTTTGGATCATAAACTGAACTAATACATCTCCTCTCCAAGTGCCTCAAAAACAGCAACTTGGGCACTAAGAACTCTGGGAACTGTAACTTCATTTGGGGACCTGAATTTTTAATGTATGCACAAACCAAATATCTTAGAAATTATTTCTCAGAGTTCCTGCATTCAGATTAATATATTTTGGGGAGTTGTGGGGATGGTAGGCTACTTCTTCTGACTGCCGGCTGCTTGCAATTTGGCAGTTCAAATCCCACCAGGCTCAGTCTTCCATCCTTCCAAGGTGGGTAAAATGAGGACCCAGATTGTTGGGGGCAATAGGCTGACTCTGTAAACTGATTAGAGAGGGCTGTAAAAGCACTGAAACTGAAATAAACTGTCCATTGCTCAAAGGACCAAGAGCAATCTGGTTTGCTGCATATGTCTTTATTATAGGAAGTCCTCTATTTACAACTACAATTGGAACCAGAATTCCCATTATTAAGCAAGGTGGTTATTTCAGTGACTCATGCCCAATTTCATGACCTTTTTTGCCATGTTGTTAAGCGAATCACTGCAGTTGTTAAGTGAATCACGTGGTCATTACATGAATCCAGCTTCCCCCACTGACTTTGCTTGTTGGAAGACAGCTGGGAAGGTCACCAATGACATTCGATCCTGGGATGCTGCAACCATCATAAATCCATGTCGGTTGCTAAGCACCTGGATTTTTACCATGTGACTGTGGGGATGCTGCTACGATTGGTTGTAAGTCAGTTTTTCAGTGTTGTTGTAACTTCAAATGGTCGCTAAATGAATGCTTGTAAGGTGAGGACTACCTGTATTGAAATCTACTGCAAACTGCTTTGAGACTCATTCTGTTGAAAGGTGAAACAGCAAATGAGCAGAAGCACTAAATTTTTCAAGTGGAAAAAGCAAGTGGATTTCAATTTTTTATATAACAATTCAATTTGCCAAGCCCCATGCTTGACCTTTCTATATATAGTAACTGCGGCAAAAAAGAACATTTCCAAAATGAAACAACAGGCCATCTTCCTTGAATTTTCAAGGAGCTCCAAAGTAGTCATCTTCCTTCAAAAGCAGAAAGCCCAGGAGATGGATGATTATTCATATCACTCCATATCGCTCGTGACTCCAGATCAATCTCGCAATCGTATGAGAAACGCTTCCTATGACCACCAATATTACCATCTCGGTGCTGTTGGTAGAGCTGGCCAGCCACTGTGCGATGGGCAACTTTCCTCTCCATAGCTGAGGAACTGTTGAAGTCTTTCTCTAAAGAAGGGTCACAGTCTAGGCATGGGGTGCTGTCTGGAGCAGAGCTGCTGAGATCTTCTGCAGGTGGTGGCAAAGGTGGTGGTGGCAGATCTGCAAGCAGAACTGATGATAAAGCATCCACTCTTGCTTTCTATGAAGCCCCTGAAATTTCTTCAGACGGTCCTCCAATACATTCAAAAGATTCATCTTAGAACAAGGGGTCTCCAAACTTAGCAACTTTAAGACTTGTGAACTTCAACTTCTAGAATTCCTCAGCCAGACATGCTGAGTTGAGTCTTAAACTTGAAGTAGAGTGTTGAAGTCTTAAAATTGCCAAGTTTGGAGAGCCCTGTCTTAGAGCATTCATCCTGGCAGCCTTAGGAACCTGAAAATCTCAGAATGGTATGTGCTGTACTCTGAATGGCGGTGTTTGGAGAATCAGATGGATAATGAAAATACTTCAGTTGTAGTTACTAAAAGAGAAGAACTGCTTGCTGTTATTAGCAAGAACCAGAAGCAAGTGGGAGAATCAGGACCAATATCAGCAAATGCAGAGTTTGTCACTGGCTAGCTGTCATTGCTGACTTCAGAAGTCCACCCATGAACGAGTATCTAGACAACCAGCAAGTAGCCAAAGACTTGGAGCAAAACAAAATGACTCCTGCCCCATACATGACCCCAGATGCTTGCAGGTGAAAAGCTTTAATATCTATAAAGGAGAATATTTGTAGCTCAGGGTTGAAATGAGGGGTTCTTGGTGCTGTCTGAGCTTGGTTGTTTTCTTGCAGATGTTTCATTACTCAGGTTGACTCAGCCTTCCATCCTTTCGAGGTAGGTAAATTGAGGACCCGGATTGTGGGGGCAATAAGCCAACTTTGTATAGAACAACATCGCTTAGGGGGGGGCAAAAGCCCTAATAAGCAGGTATATACAAAAAAGTATGCAGGCTATTGCTATAATGCATTGTAAGCCGCCCTGAGTCTACAGAGAAGGGCAGCATATAAATTGGACAAATAAATAAATAAATAAATAAATAAATAAATAAATAAATAAATAATACTCAAAGTAGGTAGCATCATCAGTGCTAAGACTAACACTGATGATGTTACCTAGTTTGGGCAAAGAAACATCTACAAGAAAACAACCAAACTCAGAGAGCACTAAAGACCCCTTGCTTTAATTTCTTCCATAAGTAGGATTTGACATTACCTTTGGGCCATGGGAATCATGATGTGACCTCATGAAATGGCCTGAATGCCCAATAAACACATCAAACCAAAATGGAAATCTCATGCGAGCATTGTGAGAATCTCAACATCTTGCAATTGTGACAAGGACATCACGTGCATGGATACACATTTTAAACATCACAAAACCAAACCAGGGTTGTTCTTGAAGATTTAGTAGGCATGCTACCATCCTGGAGCTCTATGTTCCTCTCTCCAGACCTAAATGCTGGCTTATTAGCCTTTTAAATAAGTAGCTATTCCTTGGTTCCCAATAGCTGAGTCCCAATTTAATACTTGCAATGTGTGGCTTGCTTGAGATACGAGACAGGAAAAGTTAAATTTGTTCCTGAAAACAATTGTGCAAGCAAGATTCTATAAAAGGAGGTGGAAAGCAGATGCTTTACAGATGTGAGCAGCTGCTTCTTGGTACACTTAAAAAAAAGGCATATGGAGGAACTAACCCGATTAGGTAATGGAATTAAGAAGATGCTATAATGAAAGGAATCAAGACAGTTTGGTATAGTGGTTAAAGATCTGAGGCTAAAAAAACAGGAGACTGAATTTGAATCCTGCCTTAGGCGTGAAGGCAACTGAGTGACTTTGGGCCAGCCATTCTCTCTCGGCCCTAGGAAGGAGGAGACAAAGGCAAAAAACTTCTGAACACATTGCCAAGAAGACTCTCTATAGGCTTGTTCATGCAGTCACCAGGAATCAAGAGAACAGAAGGAGATTTAACACTGTATAGCACAAACTTGGGAGTTACCTCCTTGTTTCTTCTCTCGACGATAGTGGCTGGACTTGGATTTCTTTTTGCCTTTTCCTTTCTGACCCAGAGGAAGCAAAACATCACCAAGGCTGGAATGGGTCTTGCCTGCCAGTAAAAGCCCAATGTCAGTAACAACTTAGCCTTCCCCACCAACTTATTGGCAAAGCTCAGAATTACTCACCTGTGCTAAATGGATAAAAAACACAGGCAAAATATGCACATTATGCTAAGCCATTATGCGATATGTTGGATTTTGGTTTAGGGTGTTGGGTGAACTCCATCATAATGGTTGATTTCTTCAGGTCAACCTGAATGCCCCAAGCACTTCACCTTTTAGCCTCCCAATAACCCATGAAATAGGCCAGTGATTTTCATGATATTGACTACAAGGGGATTTTGAACCTGGTCCTCCCAGTCTAATGAGCTAAGCACTGCACCATGAAGACTCTCCAAAGTCTCAAAGGGAATTAATCTTCCTCAGCGCAATTACAGGTAGTCCTCAATTTATAGACTGTTCAAAGTTATGATGGCTCCCCCCAAAAATACTTAGGGCCAGGTTTCAAAGTTTTGATGACCAGGCCCCCATCACAGTCACATGACCACATTTTGAGCTCTTGGCAACTGGCCTGCATTTATGGCCATTTCCCATGGCCACATGACCACAATTGATTGTTCGTAAGCAGCCCAGAACCATTGAGAGTGAGTTGATAGTCATATAAATCCTCCCTCCCTCCCTCTCTTGTCTACCCCAACATATGGGAGGGAGCATTCTGCTTCCCTTTCACCTTTCAGCTCCAATCCAGGAGCCCTCAAGCAGTCGCATTCACAACCATTCACAACCCTGCGCATGCACAAGATGGCGGACCTCCAAGGGGCTCGCTGATGAGGCCGATGAGGGAACGGAGGACTTTGGGAATGTTGGAGGCCGATTTAGCGATCTTGGGCCCCACATTCAGCATGCCGAAGGTCTGGCGGTTTGGATGAGCCATCCCTGGTCGGGATCGGCTTGTGGAGGGCAGAGCCGCGATGAGGAGTTGCGATCGGAGCGCTGTGAAGAGGGCGGTGGTGGCCTCCAGGATGACTCTGCAGCCGTGACGCCCCGCAGATCGGGCGATCTATTCTGCGGCCCAACCAAAGGAGGTGAAGGAGCTAAGGGGGTCAAGAGAGCCAGATGGAGAGCTGAGGGTGCCGAGGGAACTGTCTTCAGTGACCCAAGCCCCCTATGATGCTATGGTGGCCGGAAAAGTGATCAGCTGCTGGAGGGGGGTGCGGGAAGCTGATGGCGTCGAAATCGGCGCCCGGAGGCTCTTAGACCACATCAAACAGTCATTTAGCCCAGACTTGAGAATTGGGGGTGTATGGCCCAGCTGTTAACTGAGGTTTGAAAATCCCCCTAAATGGACCTGGACCTGGGAAGAGCATGGCAGAGTCTGCCTGAGAAGACGGGTATGATTTCGGGGAGGAATTGGTCCGGAAAATCGAAAGGTGGTTGAAGTGATAGAGGGGGATTGATGAATAGCCATCTGGTCTCCCCCTTGGATTCACTCTCCACCTTATGAAATGGCCTTCCCCTGTTGCTGCCTGGACTCTCTGTTTGTGGTTGGGTCATTTTTGCCATCACCTCTGACTCTGGGACTTTACTATCACCCTCCTTGGACTTATTGCTGTTTGATCCTTATCTCCTCTTTGCTGCTGGTCGTTCTATCCCTGCCTCCCGATTTCCACCTGTTGACCTTGGCTCGGGGGAAGGGAGATTGCAGGTTTGGAGGGAGAAGCTGAGAGTCCTGGACAATGGCTGCTGCTCCATCTGCAGGGAAGGAGTTGAACTCTGTTGGCTTTATGTCATCCAGCCGTTATGAGAGAATGGCTGTGGCCATCTGCCTGCACTGCAGCTATTTGATCCGGATGCCCCATTGCTGTGAGAGAGGGAGGGGCCCCAGCTTTACTCATATCCAACTGTATTGCTATCTCCCGCCCCTAGGACCATCGCTGACACCCAGAGTTACTCTCTCCTACCTCGTCACACTTATAGTATATGGCTTACACCTCGGCGGATCTGCTTGCGCTGCAAGATGCTCCCCTCTCGCGGCGGTGGCCTTCCACTCTATCGAAGGCCTACCTCAAGGACGGGCTTTGGAGCCCCGAGAGATGGCATGTTCTAAAGCGGGGATTGAGGGGTTTTTTAATTAGGGTTTTTAATGATTTTTTAAGGGGAACCAGGAGGGCGACCAAGAGGGATGGGGGGGGGGGTAATCCAGCAAGGTCGGAGCCAAGCCCGGCACGGGGTAATGGTTTGGAGGGTGCAGGACGAGGGGCTGGGGAGGTGATGGAGGGCCATCCTAATGAGGGTTGTACTATCAGCACGGTGGATGGGAGGGGCAGATATGGCGGGAGCAGGGGGCCATATCATGTGCCGGGGGTGCGCACTGGCTGTTTGAGAGCAACTGCACACCCCGGTCCCCAATGCTCCTCTCAGGTACTAGGTTGCACAGATACTCAGGATCTGGGTCTTCGGCTGATGCTGTGCAATGCCAGGTCCGTGGTAAATAAGGCCCCCCTCATCTACGATCTCATACAGGAGGGGGGAGTGGACCTGGCGAGTATTATGGAGACCTGGTTGGGCCCGGAGAGAGGGGTCCCTCTGGTTGAGATGTGCCCACCAGGCTTCAGAGCATTCCATCAGCTGAGGGCCCAGGGTAGGGGCGGGAGGTTGGCGGTTATTATTAAAGAAGGTCTTGGTCCGAGGGAGACCACTGTGCCACAGATTGCCGGATGTGAATCCCTCTTTGTGAGGTGGGGTCAGGGGGTTCAGATGGGCTTGTTGCTAACGTATCTGGCTCCCTGCCGCGTGGCAACGGCCCTACCCGAGCTACTCGACGTGATAGCCACGGTGGCAGTTGATACACCGAGGCTTATGGTCATGGGTGATTTCAACTTGCCATCTGTTGGTGAAACATCCGAGATGGCCTGGGAGTTCATGGCTTCCATGATGGCCATGGATCTGACCCAGTTAGTTCATGGCCCCACTCACAGGGGCGGACACACTCTGGACTTGATTTTTATCTCTGGCCAGTGGTTGGGTGGTGTTCTTATAGGGGATATAGAGATGGAACCCTTGTCATGGACAGATCACTCACTCCTTCGCCTGGACCTTCAAACCGCTACACCCAGCCGCAGGGAGGCGGAACCAATAAGGTAGGTCCGCCCCAGGCCCTGATGGATCCAGATAGGTTCCAGACGGAGCTTGGGCCATTTCCTGAGGACCTGTCACATGACTCGGTCGATGACCTGGTAGCTGCCTGGGATTGGGCGGCTAGTAGGGCTTTAGATCGAGTCGTGCCTTTGTGGCCTCTGACCTGGTGCCGATCCCGTGGGGCTCCATGGTTTACCGAGGAGCTGAGGGAGATGAAGTACCAGAAAAGACGCCTAGAGAGCAGTTGGAGGGCCAGTCTCGCTGAATCTGACCGAACACTGGTAAGGTCGCACATTAAGTCCTACCTAGTGGCGATAAAGGCGGCAAAGTTTAATTACTTTTCCGCCCTTATTGCATCATCAGATAATCGTCCAGCTGCCGTGTTCAGGGTGACCTGCTCCTTGTTACATCCGGGAGTGCGGGAGGACCCCCTGGAAGGCAGGGCCGAGGAATTTGGACAATATCAGTATGACAAAATCGCACAGATCCAGGGGGATTTGGATTCTGACTGGGTAGATTCGGGCAGGGTGGCGAGGAATAGTCACCTCTGGGAAGAGTTTGACTCTGTGACCCCTGATGACGCAGACAGGACTTTGGGGAGACTTAGTGTGGCCACATGTTTGCTGGACCCGTGTCCCTCCTGGTTAGCACTGGCTTCCCAGGAGGTTACACGAGGCTGGCTCCAGGGAATTATCAACGCTTCATTGAGTAAGGGTTACCTCCCCACGGCCTTGAAAGAGGCGGTGGTGAGGCCTCTCCTCAAGAAGCCTTCCCTGGACCTGGCAGTATTAGCCAACTACTGTCCCTTCACTTTGTGGCGAAGGTTATTGAGAGTGTGGTGGCACAACAGTTTCCACAATACCTGGAGGAAACGTCTTATCTAGATCCATTCCAGTCGGGCTTCAGGCCTGGGTACAACATGGAAATGGCATTGGTCGCATTGGTAGATGATCTCTGGAGGGCTCGGGACAGGGGTTGCTCCTCTGTTCTGGTCCTGTTAGACCTCTCAGCGGCTTTTGATACCATCGACCATGATATCATGCTGCGCCGGTTGGAAGAGTTGGGGATAGGGGGCACCGTGTTACGGTGGTTCTCCTTTCTCTTGTACTGGTCACAGTTTGTGTTGGCGGGGGGGCAGAAGTTGACCTCGAGATGCCTCATATGTGGCGTGCCTCAGGAGTCAGTTCTCTCGCCCCTTTTGTTCAACATCTATGTGAAGCTGCTGGGTGAGATCATCCGTGGCTTCGGGGTGAAGTACCACCAGTATGCTGACGACACCCAGCTGTACATTTTCACCCCGGGCCACACCAATGATGCCCTTGAAGTGATGTCCCGGTGCTTGGAGGCCATGTGGATCTGGATGGGGAGGAACAGGCTCAGGCTCAACCCATCCAAGACTGAGTGGCTGTGGTTTCCGGCATCCCAATATAGTCAGTTGACTCCATCACTGACTATTGGAGGCGAGTCCTTGGCCCCCAGGGAGAGGGCTCGCAACTTGAGCATCCTCCTGGATACACAGCTGTCCTTGGAGGAACATCTGACGGCTGTAGCCAGGGGGACCTTTTATCAGGTTCGCCTGATCCGCCAGTTGTGGCCCTTCCTAGATCGGGATTCCTTGTGCACAGTCACTCATGTCCTCGTCACCTCTTGCCTGGACTATGTCAATGCTCTCTACATGGGGCTCCCCTTGAAGAGCACCCATAGACACCAGCTGGTCCAGAATGCTGCCGCGCGGGTAGTTACGGGAGCTGCATGGCGCTCCCACATAACACCTCTCCTGCGTGAGCTGCACTGGCTCCCAGTGGTTTTCCGGGTGTGCTTCAAGGTGTTGGTTATCACCTTTAAAGCGCTCCATGGCATAGGACCTGGATATCTTCGAGACTGCCTACTGCCACCAATGGCCTCCCACCGACCCGTGCGCTCCCACAGAGAGGGCCTCCTCAGGGTGCCATCGGCCAAACAATGTAGACTGGTGGCCCCCAGGGGGAGGGCCTTCTCTGTGGGGGCACCTGCCCTCTGGAATCAACTGCCCCCAGAGATACAAAGAATTCAAGACCTCGGTGCCTTCCGCCGTGCCTTGAAGATCTTTCTTTTCCAGCAAGCCGGGCTGGCTTAACACTTTTTTAAAAAAAATGTTTTTAATAGCTTTATTATTGTTCTTTTAATTTTGGCGCCAAACATATATATATCTTTTAAAATTGATTTTAATGTTTTTATTTATGTTTTTACTTTGGCTGTACACCGCCCTGAGTCCTTCGGGAGAAGGGCGGTATATAAATTTGAAAAATAAATAAATAAATAAACCAACCATTTTATACTAAATATCAGCAAAATATAAATCTTATATATAAATAAATAAATAAGATAAAATGATAGCCAGACAGACAGACAGACAGATGATAGATAGATAAACCATGTTTTTGCTGAAAACTAGTATTTACTTCTGTTTTTAGCAAAAATTTCCCATAGCAAACAATGGGTTTACTCAACAAGCATGACATTCGCCTAACAATTATGGTATTCACTTAACAGTCAATCAAAAAGAGTAATAAAATCAGGTTCACACGTGGATGATCCACTTTACAATTGTCATGACTTAGAACTGTAAAAGGCCCCATTACAGTCATAAATCAGGACTACCTGTCACTACAAATATTTTAATATTCTCGTAACAGGAAGCTAATTATAAGGAGAATTCCCTGATGTTCTCTTCAAAGACAATGTCACGGCCATCCCTGTTCCTGTGATGCTATGGGACACCTGGGAAGAGGGAAATGAACTCACCTTGACCTGGGGAGTCCACATTCTCTGCACTATGCGCTGGCGTTTGGCTCAGGTTACGTCGGTGACTTTGCCTGGGAAACGCGGCTTCTAACCTCTCTTCAGGCAGGTTTAGATTGGGATTAGACTGAGTCAAGGGAGGACTTGAGGGTCTTGTCAAGGGACCTGACCCATTGGGTAACCGCCTGGGAAGCAAAGGAGCATCAGATTAAATGGGCAGATTTTTGGGATGTCCCAATTTTCTAATCACTTAAATGTAGAACATTATCAGAAGTTTTTGGAGAATAGGCATGGCTTTAGACCTCAAATAGTATGCATGAGCAACATCAAGATGACAGCCCCTGTCTGCTTTCTATTGTACTAAATACCGGAGGGGGGGGAAGGAGTCTTGTGTGCGGTGGGGTTATTTCCTTACTTAATAGATCTTCCTCCTTTTTTCCAATACATCAAAAGAGCTAATGGCACACATTGATAAGAGAAAGATGAATTTATAGAATATGATCGAATAGGGTCAAGTCTATACTAGCATTCAAACTTAACATCTGCCTAAAATGACCCTTCTCTTGCCCAGTCCCAGCCCATTTCCCATAGCAAAGAGACACAGAGATGTTGATCATAAAGCTTCTGCAGATCATTAGGAGAAATCTGGAATCTGTGAGGGCCACGCTAAAGGGGTCAACATAAGCCTAGACTGCAGACTTGGTGAGCTCATACCTGGGCAGATGTGGAATCTCAAACTGGTGCAGTCTGGGAATATCCTCTGAAACTCGCATCTCTTCCCGTGGCGAGGGAGTCAGGGTGGCCGTGGACTGCTGTCCATAGGAATTTGCAGGAGAAGAGGCATCGTTGCGAGGTGGGGGAGGAGGACATTCTTCTTCCTGGATGTTCTCCATTAAGTAGGTCCTCTCTGGCAGAGGTGGACACCATTCCTCCACCTCTGACCTATCAAGGTTCATACATTGTTCTAAACCATGACTTATTATAATCATGGTTTATTGAATATATGCTTGTTCATATGTAATATAAAGCCATTATAATTCTGACCTACACTTATTCATACATCATGCAACAAACCAAACAAAACACGTTGTGGATATATTGATGCCTAAAGTAATCCATCCAGCAATCTATATGGCTGTCAGCGGACTAAAACATGCTTAATGTAGTTACTAAATTAATTCATTTGGGCTCACACTGAACATTGGGCCATCAACTGCTACAAACTACAACCAAAGCAAAGCAAAGCGAAACCAAGCTTAGTGCATTTCCTAGGTTTTCAATGAGCTTAAACTCAGCCAATAAACTGGCCCGAAAGACTAGGCTCCCAATACTCAACTAGTATCCTGATTGAAGACATGCATGCTCCTTGTAGCATCAATTTTATAAGGGAGAAGAAAGTCATAGGTGGACAGGCATTTAAGCGTTCTGAAGGTTAAAACTTGATTTTTGAGTCAGTTGAGGATATCCTGCATGGAACTATTGACTTCGAAACTGGCGATACTGATTATAATTATTTTCCCCCTCGTACGTATTGCTCTGTTCATAAGCAGGATATTACGGCAGTCTGTACTACAGGAAAATGCATTACTTCTGGAAAAAGCTGGTCAAAATTCAAATGCAAATTCAGCCTTAAAATGAACATGAAACCCACTCTTCAGTGCCAGCTCTCTCAGCAGAGAAAACACAGTAAAATACTGCAATTTCCCAGTCCTTGGATGGCCCTTACGTGAGTTCTAGTTCTTCTTCCTCTTCTTCTTCTCCTTCTTCTTCCTCCTCCACATATTGGCTCAGCTCATTGGCAGATGGTGGTGGGGGCAGCACTTCTGTCCAGTTGAGGGATGGTGTTTTTACTGGCTTCCCCATCGATTTCTGTTTCCCAGGTTTAGCAACTACAGAAACAGAGAAGTTAGACCTTCCATTACGGTAAAAGACTTTGGTTGCAAGCCTAGTCCTATCTGCAAAGAACAACTCTTATTAAAATTAATGAACCTGAGTGTTTTCTTAAAGTGGCCACCTAATCCTCAATATGCTAAGCTTGATAGTTCTCCTAATCTTCCTGCAGCAATTTGTGCGTCTCTTGAACAAGATGTTAGGCATTTTTATGGTACACGTATTGTATCGCATTGTCATCAATGATGAATTAACCTTTTCTGGGAAATGCCAGGCCTATTCTTCTCAAGACAAGATGACCACATTGCAAGTTGAGACTAGATACATGATATACTTGATACTTGGAGGGCATGGGAAGGGCAGAGGAAGATCTCTAAACCAGGGATAGTGTAGGCTACAATTTCCATCATCTCTAACTTGCCTACACTAGCCACGTCTTAATTAAACTTGTACTATCAAACATTTGAGTACGTCCATGGTCTAGCTTCTTGTAAGCTTATGGTCCCTACCACTCTCCACCCTGCCCCGGTCGGGCTGGGCATACTGGATGGTAGAGATGCCAGGCTCGTTGTTCCATTGGCCTTCCTCTTCATCAGGTGAGTGTAGATGGGTTGCACCATATGGTACCACAGGAGTTGTGGCATATGGGGTGGTGTGCTGGGAAAATGCCCCATTGAAGGTCCTCATGTCATCACTGGCTGGGTCAATGGTGCTGTATATGGGGCCATCGGACACCCCCGTCCCAAACTTCTCTGTCTGAGCAATGTAATTAGAAATCCCAGCATCTGTCAACAAGGAGAGATGTTGTGAGCCTTACCAGGTTTTTGGGTTGAGCTGAAGCAGTTTCAGGGTGCCTCAATTCCAAATGCCTCTAACCTCTGTAGGTCTTTTATTTGAACTTACCGAGAGAGAGAAAAGGGGATCCTTATTGTATTTTCAAAATCCTGTCTCAGTTTTTCTCTTGGGTGGGAAATGTCTCTCAGCCACTTCCTTTAAAAGATCAAGCTTCTTACTGGAGTCTGCCCACCCTGTTCTCCCACGGATCAGCTAGCTCAGGGGTCTCCAATCTTGGCAACTTTAAGCCTGGTGGACTTCAACTCCCAGAATTCCCCAGCCAGCTTTGCTGGGAGTTGAAGTCCACCAGGCTTAAAGTTGCCAAGGTTGGAGACCCCTGAGCTAGCTGGCTACAAATTTTTATTTATTTATTTATATATCAAATTTAGACATCACCCATCTCACTCACAGAGGGAGTCTAGGCAATGCATGTTTGCCTTTTGCTAGCCAGCTCTATTTTCTTCCATTAACATTTTTACTGAGTTATAAAGTAATGTAAAATACAAAATACAAAATAAATTGGAAAGCAGTGGGGAGGGAAAGGGGAAGGAGAGGTGAGGAAGGATAAGAAAAGAAGAAAAAGAAGCACTGACTTCCGATTCTCTCTGCTAGCCAGTTCTAGACCTTCTGTGCTCCTGAGAGACACAATTGATGCTATGGAACTCTTACCATTGTAGTATCTTTCAGTGACGTTATGGTTTCCTGTACAACAGGCCATTCCTGGATCTTTTGTCTTCCCATTCCGCAACAGATTTGGGGCTGGCCAGGAGTCTGCCAGCCATGGGTAGCTGGAAGCACTGGTAGCCATGGCCAGCATGCCAGGGCGGCTAGAGAAGAGACAGAAAATTATTTATTTGGTGACTAATGTGACAGCCATTTAAAAATAATTTGAGTAAGTGTGCATGCTTTAGTTAATTAATTGATTAAAATGGTTTCAATTTAATACATGTCTTTTAATTAAATTCAATTATGAGGCGAAGAAAGCACTTTCAATTATCAGGAATATCCAACCAAAGGAAACTTTAAGACTTGTGGACTTCAACTCCCAGAATTCCCCATGACTGGCTAGGGAATTCTGGGAGTTGAAGACCATAAGCCTTAATGGTTCCTAAGGTTAGAATGGACATCCATATCCTTGTGGATATGCACAAGGTTGCAGCAAGCAAGGTGTTAAAGGAAGTGTTGTATTTTTTGGTTCCAAAACACACAACTTTAAATTTTAGAGTTTGGTTTACACCACATTTTTAACTTTGGTACTAATGTTCAGATACCTAAATTGGTGTCCTGGGGAGTTGAGAATTATAGCCCAACATAACAGGAAAACACTTGACTGAAAATGGCTGGAGTTATTTATTTATTTGCTTGCCTGATTTCTTAATTAATAAATAATTGCATTTTTGTAATGTTCAATAGCAACCCTTTATATATTTCTTGGTGTCTGAGGGATTAATGTATTCCAACATGCTGTTCTGTTTTGTGATTAATTTTTTAATCTTCTCTTTGGGTGAAGTGTTTAGAATGATCCTGAAACAGACACATGAAACTTGGCATATAATGAAACAAAGTACTCTGGAGAGATCGCCTGCAATTTTAACGATTTCACTGAAAAATACTGAAGGAGTTGAAATAAAGATTAACTGACAGCTTGCCAAAAAAGAGGTAACCTCTGAGTTATATGATGGATTATTGTCACGGTTTCATCATTTCCTTCACTATCAGACAAAAAGCAAGGGAAGACCTTTGTCTTTTCAGAACATGCTTGCAATGTTTATTGCTCCTTAGAAATGCCTTGATTAGCAGGACGTAGTTGACCGAAGGCATTTAATTGATCAACCCAAATCAATTAACTGATTAAATGTTGCAGTAGCCATAACTTCTAAGATTTTGCCCTGATCAAGCAGAAACATGGGTTGTACTACGGAGAACCAATAAAGCTTATGGGAGAATCCTTCCTATTAGCCCGAGGCCTCTGTACTCACCTGCTGCTGCCGACACGTGCTGGACCATCCGTATGGGGGAAAGAAACTGCAAAGGAGAACAGAGCAGACTCTCAGGGATGCTCCTTTCAAGAACAAAAGAAGGGGAGAATTGGTGGTATGGAGGACAAAGCAATACAATGGGAAGGGGGCACGAAGCCTTACCTGCTGGCGTGTATGCAAAGGAAGCTGAAAAGAGAAGCAAGCAAAGAGTGAGGCAGCTCAAAGGAAGTCATTGCTGGAGTCAGCATGGATGGGCAGGGAGTCTAAATTAAAATGATGGGGCACAGCAGATGCATTGCATGCAGATGGCGTATATTCCAAATCCCAATTAAAGGGAACCCACCAAAGGTGAGAAGGAAACCCCAAAATGGGTGTGGTGTCCCATTCACAAAGACTACATTTTCCTCCAGTACTCAGATCCCTACTTGGCCCATTAACATAGTACAGAATAGAAGGGGAAGCTGGAGGCAATTAACAAGAAGTCTGCCTTCCCCTTCTCCAGCAAGGGAAGATGTTTAGGAGGGGTGGTCCAGCCTCCAGGGTAGGGTCCAACTTCAGCTTTGGAGCACGTGACTCAGTTGGAGCTCTCCATGGTGCTGAGATGCTCCATTCTGCTTGACTTCTAGTCAAAGACAGGCCAAAGGATCTAGTATAAGACAGCCCACCTACATCCTCCCTTAAGAATGCTAGAATGGGGAGCTCGTAGTAAAGATGAGCTTATCTTGCCTGTATAGTGGCTCAGCTCCTTTCTCTTCTTTCGGCGACAATAGATCCACACACTGAAGCACATGAGAATGACCCAGCAGGCTCCTCCGATGCCAGCAATGAAAGCTGGTTGCTTCACTACACCTGTGATCTGCTCAGCAAGGCTTACACTATCCCCATTGTCCACAGGGACAGTATCCTGATCTGGTAGGGGTTCTGCAGCAAACATGGAAGGCAAAGGCATTTGCAGTCAGAAGAGGTACAAGGCTTGAGCAAGGTTAATTATGCGGTGAGGACAGTAACCAGATTGAAGGTTGCAGTTTTCCTACACATAGAATTAGCATATTAAGGAAAGAGCCTTGTTTCTTACTAATTTTCTTTCTGGTAGGAACAGAGCTTGCATGGAAGAATTCTCAATCATTTGAGTCTATACTTTCACTGTTCTAAAATAGCAAATTGCTGTTCTATTGTCCTGACAATGTGGCAAGTGTGTCTCACACTTCCTGAATCCTACTGGTATCAGCTGTCTCCTGTTTCAGAACTAAAGTTATGGAACATTTGCAAGAGAGACATTGCAAGATGGTTTATTTTTGATTAAACATATTTAAGAAGACCTTGAGTATCATTCAAACCATCTAAAAGCATGATAGTAATAGTGGTGGATGTAATTTTAGCCATTGTCTTCTTCATTATAACACATCAATTTCTTACAGGCTTCTAACAGGCCATCACTGAAAAGACTGTCTCTTGTTCATATGACAGCTGTATCTTTGAAGATGCTAGAGATGTGCTGTAGAGTATAGAGCCTCCCCAGGTGATGCACCTGGTTGGGCAGGACTGTATGGAAATAGAACTTCTTTTTTCCAACTGTGGGCATATGAAGGAGTCCTGAATACTCACTGATCTGTATGGTGACCGGGGCGCTCCTTACTCCGATGCCAGCACTAGTGGCAGCAGCAACCTCTGTGCGGTAGATCATGCCAGGGATTAGCCCCATCAAAACTGTGGAATGCATTGTGCCATCCACTGTCTTATTAATGTGATAGCGAGACTCATTTCCCAGACACCAAACCTGTCCAGGAGAAGGAGAAGACCATAGTAACTAATGGCTGAAGAAAACATTACCCTGCAAAAAAAACCTAGCTGCACATCACTGGATTGCAATATCTACCATAGTAAAGAATTGATGCATTGGCCAGCGAGTTGGACAAGGCAATCTACAATGCACAACCCAACTCTATGATAATATACTCCAGCTTCTATGACCATCGGAAGTCCAAAGGACTTCAGACCCATTCTTTTTGGGGTGTCCCTCATTGCAAAAGTTGTCAAGGAATCCATTTTACCCGATAATCTTGGATGATCCCATTTTGTTCTCCAGGTGGAGGTGGCTCCCAGGATATGCTTATACTAGTACTGTTGCTGGTTCCCACGGTCACTACAGAAATTCCTTGTGGAGGAGCACTAGGAGCTGAGGAAGAGGAAAGAAAAGAAAAGAAAAGGGATTTCTTGCTCAGAATAGTCTGATAAAGATAGCAACCATTGCAGCTTCTACTCTGAGTTGTGAAAGCACACCAAGATATTGTCAGGGCATGCTGGCTAAGTTTTTATACAACACTAAGTTTTGACATGGATTTGCCTGGTTTTTGCTAAACAGAAAACTGAAGAGCATCTGGTCTTTATTGCAGACAAGAAATTCACGACAAAAATGGAGAAGCTATCATTATGAACAAAAGGGTGTCGAAGTCATTGCTTGGCTACAACATCAAAATGTTAAGTTTAAGGCAAGTCACTTAACATTGCAGTGATCCAAGTCTTATTTTCCAACCCCAGATACAGCTCTATAGCACCTTGCAACACTTAAAAAACATTGTGGGAGACTGGAATCCTAAAATTGGAACTAAATAATATCTGCGATAATGGGACAATTTGACTTCAGTATACAAACTAAAGCAGGAGACAGACTAATAGAGATCTGCTAAGAAAATTCAATGTTTACAGAAAATACCTTCTTCCAACAGCCTGAAAGATTACTTTACACATGGACATTAGTCAATGGACAAACCCAAAATCAAATTTACTATATACTCTGCAAGCTGAAATGGAGAAGATCTATTCAATCAGCAAAAACAAGATTTGGTATTGCCTGTGGCTAGCATATGAACTCCTCCTTGCAACTTAATTCATCAGACAGACAAGATATTATCTCAGCAATATTCAATATGATTATACAATGAAGGTAAAGCATATATTTAGTGGATTAGAATTGATAAATAGAGTGCTTGAAGAACTCTGGATGAAACCTTGTGACATCACCAAAGATAAAGCCAGAGAAATATATTGAAATGCAGAAAGCAAAAGAGGGTGAAATTGCTGCCTGCTAATATATTGAAAATAACTGAAGAAACAAAAGGAAAGAGAGGCAGAAAGAAATTGGTGTAACTAAAATGCTACATTCTAGAGAAAGGTACAAAGAGACAATGAGTTATATCTACACTGACATACAAAGAAATTGAGAATAACAATAAATGAAAAGGACAAGAAACTTGAGAAAATTATAGAAATTGAGGGAAATTTTAATACAAAGTGGTCATAATAAAAGGCAAAGCTCTAAAGAAGTTAAAAAGGATAGTGTGTTTGTGTGTGTGTATGTGAGAGTGAGAGACTAGGCAGCATAGGGCCTGCTGGCTGCCATAAGAAAAAAACCCAGAATCGAGTGGATGTGACTCCACTGAGCTAGGGCTATAGAAAGAAAAACCTTGGTTACGTAGGAGAAACCTGGCTAAAAGAAAAACACACATAAAACCTATGAAAGAAAAAAGTAAGAAAAAATACACACAAACACACACACACACACACACACACACACACACACACACACACACACAGAAAAAGAGTTGCAGGGTTCAGAAGAGGCAAAGGCACTTGAGATCACACACGTTAACATCCAATGAAAATTGAAAAAAGACCAGAGAGTCTTTTTTTCATTTATTTATGTATTTATTTATTTGTCACTTTTAAAATAAAAAGTGACTCTGAGCAACCTATTAGCCACAATAACTTGTGAATAACTCCTTAAAGACATTGGTGCACTCTAAGCTTCCTCCTATTTTGGCTATGGATGAATTTCTATCATGGCCAGGAACCAAGAATAAGAACTGAGCGTGAGGCAACTAAAGTGTTTAAAATTGGGGAAGGCATCAGGGCTGTATACTGTCATTGTACTCAATATTTATTTATATGCTTTATTTATTTATTTATATGCATTATTTATACATTGTCGAAATCATTATTTTCCCAGTTATAGCATATAGTGTAAAAGGTAGATGATCAGAAAAGCTGAATGAAAAACGCACACTTCTCAATTGTGGCATTGAAGAAGATTGTTGGGGAAATAATTTCTTTTTCTTGGATTGCAAAAAGAAGAAATTATTCAAGAACAAAACCAGAGTGCACGTGGAAATACTAACAAGGAAACCAATGCTTATATATTTCAGACAAGCAAGCAAAACACAAGCAAGATTTATTTTAAAAAAGGCTGGGATGCCTGGAAAAATCAAACTCAATTGAAAAAAGCCAATAAAAGAGCAAGTGACTGGCTATAAGGCATAAGAACTAAAACAAGAAAAAAATGCAGTTCCTCATTGATAATTCTGGTGGAATGATGTCCTTTGGGAACCTGAAGTGACTGAATGACTGAACAATCTCAACTTACTCTGTGAAGCCAGCCATTGTGGTTTATCAGCTGTGATTTATTTCGTGTGTTGCATTAACCTGACCAGTTTCAATCCGTTAAAACAACCCTCATCCTTATGCAGGGTTCCCTTTTTTCCTGCTTATGGGCTTTCTGTAGAAATCAACAGGAAACCAACCAAGCAGAAGACCCTATTAGGCAGAAGATACAGCCACTTCATCAATGCATGTTAATTTCATAAATCAAGACCATGTACTTTGGTTGTCTTAAAAATTATCATTTTTGTGCCTGTTAAAAGGAAGACAATTTGGGTGGGAGGAGAAAAGGGGGCATATGGAAAGGGATTGTTTTAGTGTCTTATAAACCACCCGGAAGATAATTAAATCAAAGGGCCAACATTTGATCAATCGTTTTTTTCAATCAGTTAGGAAGTAAATGTTTGATTATTAATAATAGATGAAGTGGCTATGAGAATCCTAATTCTGTAAGATATACTGTATTTTACAAAAAAAAAATCTAACAATCAATTTAACAAACAATTTAACAATCAGCAGTCATGAAGTAGTTCACTGGGAAATTATTCCTTTCCTTATTTCTATCTAACAATCAATACAGCATTCAGAATTCATGTCTCTGTAGAAAAGAAGCCTACAGTTCTTACAGTGCTGAGTTAGACACAAAAAATGGATGATGATAGACAGAAATACCAAAATATTAAAATGGTCATGTTGATGTAAAGAGCAAACCTCAAAATTCACATGACGATTGAAACCAAGAAATTTGGTTATAGGAAGGGGGGGATGACTCAGATTTAAAGATAGCAGCTTCCTTTTCCTACAAACCTTCTTCTGGGGTGCGCACCAGGAGCACCTCACTATCCATGCCCTGGAACTCATCAAAATATGGCCGGATCTTGACCTCATATTCTTGGCCTTTGCGTAGGTCTACTAAGACAGTGTTCCGTTCAGCAGGTGACTTCACATCCTGCACCAGCCAAGCACTGTTCTTGGGCCGGTACATTATCCGATAACCTTGGATGAACTGAGCCTGGCGATCCACCTGAATGAAATAAAGAGAGAGCATTGACTGTATGCGTATGGAACCTATTGCCTGGATCAATGCTTCTCCTGTCTAGGATCCAATTTCTTCCTCTTGCTATTGGTTCTGATGATGTTATTTCAAGAAAAAGTATTAGCTTATTAACACTCACAGTCCAGGTCACTTGTATGGTGGTGGAAGTGAGGACAACGGGTTCCTGGAGCTGAACTACCACATCCCCAAGTTCCCGTTGCACCTGCCGGTGGTCGACTCCTTGTCTGGTGGGACTCACATCTATCAAGAAAAGGCACAAATCCCATACCAGATGATACTCTTTGCAACAAGACCAACACAAAATATCCAAAATTGAAAACACAGCAAATGATCACCAAGCTGTAGATATGCATATGCCCATGAAGTTTCTTTCTAGGTTTTACCGGATACTTAGTAACTTCAAGAGTTAGAAACATGTTTTTGTAGAAATGTTCAATCTGTGCTAGGCCAGTAGAACTTTCTATGGAAGGATTGTAGAGCTACAGATGTACAACTGGAGATTATAAACCATGATCTCTTCTTAACTATGGTTCCTAGAGGGTTGGAATAATGGATGGAAAGGAGAGATAATGGATCAAGGAGAGATTCAGCCTGGAAATAAGGAGAAATTTTCTGTCAGTGACAACAATCAACCAAAGGAACAGAAGTTGCCCTCGGAAGTTGTGGGAGCTTTGTCACTGGAGGCTTTCAAGAAGAGATTGGACTGCCATCAGTCAGAAATGGTATAGGGTCTCCTGCTTGGGCAGAGGGTTGGACTAGATGACCTACAAGGTCCCTTCCAACTCATCTAATCTAATCTAATCTAATCTAATCTAATCTAATCTAATCTAATCTAATCTAATCTAATCTATCCTGAAAGGCATAAGAGGGCTGAGAATTAAAGTAGAAAGGATCATATAACATTTGAGTAGATTTGCTGACTTCTCTACAATTACTTGGAGGCCTACAGAATGAAACTAAGCATTTGCACAGCTTCTGATTCCTTATAACCACCATGAAATAAATCTTTTATTTCTCTCTTTCACATGTGGAGTAAAACCTATTGCAGCAGCAGTGGAATTCAAAATGGGACCTTTTAACCCCTATCATAAACTTCCATCAGTGTTACTATCTGGCTCCCTTCACACATACATCAAGCCAGGATTCGTTTTAGCTCTAATTTTTTAAATCCTCTCATAATTACCTGGATTCACACAACATGCAGTCTAACGCAAAACCTTATGGTTGGATCATCTCCCCATGCTTAAACCCAAACCAAATAAATGACATTATGGCTTTAATATACTGCATCAACCAAGCTCATGTCCGATCAGCCCCTCATTCAACATAGTGCCATGTGGAAACTCACCTTGTGTACGAACTGGCTCTGAGACCGGGCTAGGATCACTGAGGCCATAGGAGTTGACAGCTCGCACAAGGAAGAGGTAAATGGTGTTTGGATTCAAGCCACTGACAGTGTGCTTTTCAAGCTTGACATCATCTGCCACGGTTTGCCAAGTGCTGCCTGAAGACTGACTGCAATAGGACAGAGTTCAAAAAGGAAGAGAGAGATAGCACAGGCTTCATGTGTGCCCTTGGCCTCTGATTTAGCTGATTTAGCAACAGTCTCATTTAACAACAGCCTGATTTAGCAAAATTCAGAGGCAGAGAGATCCACTAGTAGTGCCTGGTGTACGTACTTACAATGTCCCACAGTTTACTTTGAGATCAACGAGCAATAGAAATTTAGTTTAATTTAATTTCATTGATTTTTATTTATTCTATTTAGGTACCACTGACTCCAAACAACTCTAGGTAGCTCATTGTATAACAACAAGTCAAAAACATAACCAACCAACCAAAATAAGTAAAAACAGATTACAAATGTAACAATAACGGATAGGACTTTTGATATATACCAACAATTAGTCCATATTTTTCTTATCATGAAATGCAGAAAATTAGTGGCTCCATTAAGACAAGACTATTGACAGCTTCTGACTTCATGGACAACTATTTGGGCTCATGTAACCTCCAAACCTCAGGAAGACTGTTTGGTTGCCCCAGAAAATCTTGGCATTTTAGATTCCCCATGCTGCACCAAAGGAACATGATGCAAAGCATTCTGGGAAATTTGAAAGGGCGGGTGGATTTTAGCTACTTGCTATGAACATGGCACTCTTCCCCGATGAGGGACCATGATGGATGGCATTAGAAAGAGACCAATTTTTCCAGACAGTCTCCCTGCCAGCCTTAAAAGATCTCAGCAACTGCAGAATAACTTTGCAATTATAAGCACAGACGTTGCAGTTATAAGCACAGCCTTTTGTAGACACAAAGGAGCAGTAGACAAGATTCCTGCTTGCCTTAACCACTGAATTTTAAAGTTCACAAAATTGTTTTAGAATTGCTGCCCACCTTGAATTTTCAAGGTCCAGAATTCAATGGAACTCTGATTGACAAGCTTTTGGTTCAGGTACAGAATGTAAACAGGGACTTGGCCCTTAGCCCAATCTATTCTCCCTGCAATCAGAAAATCTATTTTTTGAGCCTTTTTAACTCTGCTTCAAAGAGGTGCAATTTTTTTGTAGTTTTTCAATGGGATGCGGGAACAATGAAGTAATATGTTCCATGCTGGAAGCTATAAAGAGATGAACCTGAATGCAACACCAGGACATTTTCAAGGCTTAGAATGGGATAGCTCAGAATTCAGATCGGCTCTGAATTCTAAGCTAAACACACAGATGCTCAAGTCCATGTTAAAGAGGATTTGTAGCAGATGCCAGGCTGCCCCTAGTCTTGTGTTTCCATGTCCCTCCGTGCATGCTCCCATACAAGTCTGGATTAGTTTACTCAATGATTTATGTTGTAGCAGGGCTACCTCCCCATTTGCCAAACCTCTCACTGTAAGTGACTTGCTCAGCCACCTGCGCTTCCCCACAAAGCTCCCTGTCCAGAACAGATGGCTCTGTTAGGTAAGGTGTGCAAACCACATGAAAAAGAAGAGTTTTCCTTGATACACGCATCCCTTGGTAGCTCAGCAACAGGGAGGCAGAATCCGAATAGGGTATGTGGTAGTGATATGTGTGTCGTGGGCAGGAATCACAAACAGAAGCTTAATATGGATTTAGCAGGGGAGAAAATGGATGGTCTTGGAATGTACCGACAGCAAAAAATTTACACAGCTGCCTGGATCTGCTCTCTTGCCCTCTGAAAAACTAGCTTCAGATACAGCTGATAGATCGGAGGGGGGCAGGCGGAGGGAGACGAAAGAAAACAGCTCAGATCTTTATAAAGTTAAGTTTTCCTTATCAGGTGAAAGGTAGAAGTTGCCATTCTTGGATAATAGAACAGGGATACCCAGCCTGACTTGTGTTCTGCTTCGTGTAAACTCCACTCCCTAAAATAGGGGTGAGTAACATTCAGGGATGAATATTGCATTTTGAATATTTTGTCAGTGTGCTGCATGGGGTGAGCAGAGCTAAGAGAAGCCTAAATTAAATTTACAGTTCAGCAAGGTTCAGCTTTTTGCAATGAGAATTCTAATTCTGGCTCAGAGCAATACATGATAAAAATAAAATAAAATAAGGAAAGCACTAGTTTCTCCCCATTGTCCCATCTTTGCAGCACAATCTCATGTTCTTTTGCTGACCGGAACAAAACAAAATCCTGATTCTGTTTCATCACCTCTGTCAAGGGGCAGCCAGCCCAACAGGAGGCATAAGATTGCTTGACCCATGGGCTAAGGGCAGATGGAGAACTATTTTATTGCCCAAGATCGCATTACATGGCTGAAAGCAGCAGAGCAAAGCTAAAAATGTGTGTGTGTATGGGGGGGGTTTCCTCCCATCTCCCTCCTTCTTTCCCTTTTCTCATCCAGTGAGCTGCTAGGGAGGAACAGATTGTTCTTACAGGAGATCTATTCTAATCGTTAGTGGAGAATTTGTGAAATCACAGATGACATGTCATTAGGCCAAGATTCCCTAGTCTTGAACAACAGATTAATTCTTTTATTTATTACATTTTTATTACACCTTTATTACTTTATAAGTAACTCAGGCAGCAAACAAACCTAATGTTCTTTTCTCCAACAACAACCTTGTGAGGTGGGTTGGGCTAAAAGAGAGTGACTGGCCCAAAGTCACCCAGCCTGCTTTCATGCCTAAAGCAGGACTAGAACTCACAGTCTCCTTGGTGATTAGTGCAAAGTCTCCAAGCCGACTTTATTCCTTTTTATGCCTAAAATGGGACTAGAACACCTGGTTTCTAGATCAGCACCTTAACCACTATACCAAACTAACTCTTCAGTTTTTCATTCTGAAATTGCCCAACTGTCTACTTCATGCCCAACAGTAATTGGAGAAAAAACTCTCAAGAAACCTATGAGTTACCTGAATGCTTCAATAATGTATGAGCTGATAGGAGCACCTCCATTCCCAGGGTTTGGCTTCCAGATCAAAGCAACACTGTTCTTGGTGACATCAGTGACCAGGGGAGCTGAAGGTGGACCTGGAAGCAGGTTTGGCTCTGGGAGCTGCATCTGGAGATCTACTCCATTCTCTGGGAAAACAATGTAGAGGATGAAGAGAACATTAGCCAGAAGGCCTTCAAGGAATACTGATCAAATCAGCTACAGAGGGTCTTTGTAGATGGTGAGCTGAATTTAGCTTTGTGCATCCTATGGCTTCCCAATGCATTTTACATTTGCAAAGCAAAAAAATGCCTGATCTGGAACATCTTCCTATGATGAAAGTATAACTGTCTGTGCAAGGAAGTATGGACTTTCTTCATCCTGAAAATTAGGGCCTCCTGCTAACCAGGATGATATTAATAGAATTTACTGCCATGAGACGTGACAATAGGCATAAACTTTTATGATCTTTTTCCCACTCCAAGAAATTAGGCAACTAGTGGTTTGAGGAGACAAGAAGCCAAATATTCAAGTCTGGCAGATTTTAGATTCTTTCCAAGGATGTAGAAAGGCTGGCCATTTTTAGATTTACAGGTTGACAAAAAGCCACCCAGAACTGGTCACTGGGGCTACCTTTGTTTACCTAACTGTGGGCAGGTTCTTTCTCTGGGACACACCAGAGGTTGGTTGTAGCAGGTTCTGACCAGTTCTGGAGAACCGGTAGCGGAAATTTTGAGTAGTTCGGAGAATCGGTAGTAAAAATTCTGACTGGCCCCACCCCCATCTATTCTCTGCCTCCCGAGTCCCAGCTGATCGGGAGGAAATGGGGATTTTGCAGTAACCTTCCCCTGCCACGCCGACCAAGCCACATCCACAGAACCGGTAGTAAAATTTTTTGAAACCTATCACTGGGACACACTAGAAGAAATGGTGTTCTGCAATCAAGTGTAGGTCTGCTTGATAGATTAAAGCAGGAGTATCCAAGTGTGGCAACTTTAAGACTTGTGAACTTCAGCCCCCAGAATTTACCAGCCAGTACGTCCACAATTTAATTTGCCACTTTTGGACAACCCTGGATTAAAGTCAAACTAACAAACTGCATTTAACGCAGAACATTTTTAAAATTGGAAGTGCCTAGGGAAAGGCTCTTCATTATTGGGAGTAGCCACTTAGGACAACTTCATTCTCTCTCAACTATGGCCTGAAGAAACAAATTCTGCCTTCATTTTTATGGCACACCTGGCACCTGCATTCCCCTCCCTGGCCCTATGTGTTTATTTTTAGAAGAAATCCAATAATCTAAATTGGGTTTAAGAGTTTGGTCTATTTTTCAATGCCTCTGAAGTTATTCCCCCTTCTATACCCCGGCATCTCAGAAGAAGCATAGCAAATATGAAGTCCCAGGTAAACCACACTCCCATCTATCTCCACTCAAGGGGTCCTGCAAATGACTCACCTTGCACTGCCAGAAAGCCACTCCACCTGGTTTCACCGGTTGAGCTTGTAGCAATGCAAACATACAGCCCAGAGTCGGAGGTCTGAAACATGCCAAGGAAAGAAGCTGTTATTCCTTTCTGCTCTCAGCAATTGTAGTTTGGACTTTGGAGTTTTCTTGCCTTCAGGGAGAATGTATCCTATAGTCCTTAGATGTATACTATTACTGCTCATCCACAGGAGATACTTCATATTTCTTCCTATGGCTTTGAGGAAAGGATAGGCTTGATGGAAGCTGGATGGTTATGAGACCAGCCCAGATGTCCTGGTACAGGTACCCGTTGACTTACAACTATTTATTTAGTGACGGTTCAAAGTTTCAGTTCCATTGAAAAGTGATTTACAACCAGTCTTTGTACTTATCACTGTTGCAGCATCTCCATGGTCATGTGATCAAAATTCAGGCAGTTGGCTATGGGTATGTATTTATGACCATTGCAGTGACCCAGGATCTTGGGATTGACATTTGTGACTTTCCCAGGTGACTTCCAACGAGCAACGTCAAAGGGGAAAGCTGGACTTTGTGATTCAAATTAACTGTAGTAATTTACTTAACAACTGTGGTTTAAAAAGAGTCATAAAATCAGGTGCAATTCACTTAACAACCACCTTACTTAGCAATGCCCAATGATGATCGTAAGCCGAGGACTACCTGTTTATTTCCACGACCCCTTCTGCATGATGCATTTGCTCTCTGAAATGCAATTGGGGAGCACAGGTATAAATATAATGGTTAGGGTGTCATAAAAATATGCCAGCAGAGAGGCTAATGACTCCCAAAGGATTCTTGCACTATACTTTTACAGACAAAAGGGAGCAGGACTCACTGCTCCCTGGCCACATTTATCCATATTGGGATTTTAATGTTCGAATGCTCAGATAATCTGAAAGGCAGCAGAGAATCTGTGTGTACGTGCCAAAATCTGCATGATGGAAAGATGTGTTGCCAGGACTGAAGTCCCACCATTTTGTTGCAATTGCCATCTTGCAGATTTTGACCACTCTCTGGAACTGCCAACATTTGGAACAACTATTATTTTGCCCTCATTCTATCAATAGGCAACATTAAGGTACTTCTATTAATTACCTGCCTGTTATTATTCATATTTTCCCCTCCATCTCCCTTCTGCGGTATGATAATTCTTAGCTCTCTTGCCAGACTATTTATTTATACTTAAAATGTGAGTTCCTTCAGGTATGAATACAGCTAAGATATAATAATGACAACAACAACAATGGTTTGGTATTAAATTAAAAATGTAAGTCAAAATAAAATTAAAGAGGAACAGTTGACAGAGCCCATGAGTGAAAAATAAAGTGACAGATGGAAAGAAAAGAAAGAAGCTTAACTTTGACAAAAGCTTTGGAAAAAGAAAAAGTCTGCCTAGCGGGTCTTCAAACTTGGCAGCTTTAAGGCTTGTGGACTTCAACTCTCAGAATTCTGGGAGTTAAAGTCCACAATTCTTAAAGCTGCCAAGTTTGAAGACTGCATAAAAGCAGAAGAGTTGCAATTCTGCATGACCGAGTCCTTTCTACAAGAAGATGTTGGATCTCTCACCTGAACCCTTGCTGAGATTGAGATGGCCTTCATCAAGGTCTATGACAATTCACCACGCCCAACTCACCACGCCCAACTCACCACAGCCAACTCACCATGGCTAACTCATCATGGCCAACTTGCTGCAGCCAACTCGCCGCAGGACAACTCGCTGAAGGACAAGAGTTACACTAATATCAAAGAAATGGTGGAATAGAATAATTAAAGAACAGATGCAAAAGGAGGGACAAAATGAAATGGGAATGAGAAAAATTAAAAATATTTTTTATATATTTAAAATAAATAAATTGGGCTTCCTGTCTGGCTTCCGGCGCCGCCAGACGGTCCTTCGTGACCGCTGCCCCGTTGCCTGTAAAAGAGCTGCCTTTACATCTGAAAGGCGGCTCGAAAAACTCCATTTCCTGATGGAAATGTGAGTCTGAGCGGGCGGGGGTGGTTAGAGCCCTCTGCGAAGTCCCCAGAGTTTTTTTTTAACTCTTGGGGACGAGCAGGTTGGAGCTCCCTATTGTCCCTTGCCGCCGCTCCGGGTATCGAGTGCACTCTGCTTTTCTGCAGAGCTAGGCACTGGAACCGGATTAACTAACGAAACTAACAGATGGACTTATTAAAAAAGATGAGACTTGGATTTTGGACCCTAAATCGCAAGTATCCTTAATGAATTTACAAGCATTTTAAAGTGAAAGAGGAAAAAAAAAAAAGCTTTAAAATGGCCGCTGAGGCTTGGGAAGTAGAAGAAAGCTGAAAGTAAGAGTTCTTCCATAACAGATACAAAGTAGCGGAATATATAGTGCTGGCTACAATTTGAAAGAAAAAGAGTTATTTTAAGTTCCTCTCTTCTTGGAGATTTGTACTTGTTTATTAGATTTGTTTATTTGTTTATTAGATTTGTATACCGCCCTACTCCCGAAGGACTCAGGGCGGTGAACAGCCATGAAATAAAACATATAAATACAAAATTTAAAATAGAAATACTTGATCTTGTTTGGAGGGTAAAAAAGAACAGTTTGCTGGAAGGATGGCGTTACTAATAAAATCTGATAGACAAGAAGGGGGGGGTGCTCCCCCACTCACAACTGTTTGAACAAGCTCTGAGCCTACAGACTTTGCAGAATGGTTTTAATTTAAAAGAATTTATCCAGGAGGAAATGGCAAAATATTATGAGACTGTGAACCAGAAATTTGAAAATTTAAGGCAGGAAATTAAAGAAATGATACAACAAAAGTATGATAATTTGCAACAAAAGATTGTAACAGTGACTAATGGTTTTTCAGAAGTTGTTATAAAGTTGGATACAAATATTAAACTGCTAGAGTCTAAAATGGAGAAAATTGATAATTTGGATAATAAAATATTAAGAATTGAAAAGGACTTAATAAATATTCGAGATAATAGCTCAGAACTAAAGTCTAAAGAGGAAGCTGGTCACGAGACTTATAATGCAGAAGATATAAAGCAAGGAATTGAAAGAGAGGTTGTAATGCTGCAATACAGGATTACAGAATTTGCGATCAGAATCAGAGGTTTACAGGAAAATAACAGTGATGACTTAAGAAAAACATCTGCTCAAGTTCTGGCTGGGATCCTAAAGGTTCATCCTGAGGAGGTATTCAGTAAAATTAATAAGGCTTATAGAGTGAATTCCTGGATTGCAAAACAAAGGCAACTGCCTAGAGATGTGATGATTTACTTTACAGATAAAGAGATAAGAAATGATATTGTGCAAAAATCTTTTAATTCTACTTTACAACTGAATGGGAGAAAAATTTGGATATATAAGGAATTACCGCCTAAGATGGTAAGAGATAGAAAGAAATTTGGACTCTTGGTGACTGAGTTAAGAAGACAAAATATTCTATACAGGTGGGATGTCCCAGTGGGTATAATACTGAGATATCAAGGAATAAGATATCAGTTAAATACTGTTGAAAAAGCGGAAGAATTTTATTATAAGGTACTTAAAATCAAAATCAACAAGAGACAGAAATTCAAGAAAAGCAGAAGGAGATGGAGACAATGAAGAAACAACAAGTTAAAGAGGTCTCCACAGATGAGCCGCTTTTGGATTCTCTTTCAGAGGTCTCAGCTGGATTATTTAATATAAGAGAGGCGGTTCCGGATCCTATTGCAATGATTTGTCAAGCCACAAACCAGCATGGAAGTCAATTAGTTGATATACAATTTACAGAACCAGAAAGATCTCAGCCACAAAAGCAAACCCAACAGGATCAAGTTATACATCAGCAAAACCAAATAGTTGACACACAACCTACAGAAAGGAATTTAGGATGGAGATCCAACCCACAAAAAGTCAAGAAAAGAAGAAGTAGGTCTCACAAACATAAAAACTTTAAAACTAAACAGCAGTGTAATGCCAGTTACTTATGAGAGGACTGAATATATGAAAAGATAATTGGCAAAGTATTGGTTTATTTTATCCTGAGGATAGGGCAGATCTCTGCAGTGCTGAATTATTTTGGGATGTGAAAAAGGCCTTAAATCGAATGGTTGGAAACATCTTGTTTGTTTTTTGGATTTCCGGATAAATATATTATGTGTATGTTGAGTTATATGGCAAGAGATTTACTGGATTGGGGCACGCAGAAGATCTGGTTGTTACCCTATTATGATGGCTGGAATTAATAATCTGGATAAAAGACACCTCCATAAACATTATACAGAATATAATTATAAAGTCACTTGGGTGGTTGTCGGGGTTTTTCTTTTTCTTTCTTCCAATATGAAGATATTTGTTACTGATGGGGGCAGATGGTAATTGAAGATACTGAAAATACTGCTGGAATAAGGATGCGATGTTACCCTAACATGGGTGATGGAGTTTATCATCCAGTTGAAGGATATTACAGAAGATGCTATATGGATTACAAGCTTAAAGTTTTTTTCTTTTAGGATTTTATTTACATAAGGGAATATTTTTCTAGGGGAGTGGGCAGAAGAATAAAGATATTAAGAATAATTATGGTAATTTTGTAGGAAAGTGGGTGGAGATAGGTTAGGTTATGGATTGTTTAGTTTAAAGAAAAGGGATATTATGTTTAGATGTGAATATATGTAATGAAGGGGGGGAAGGAAATGGGTAGTTGAATTGAATAAGTGTTAAATTAGGATTTATTGAATAGTCTTAGAGTGGAAGTATGCTTTGAAATGTTATATCGTATGGGGGGTAGTAAAAGGGTAGATTACGAGCGGAAATTGTTAAATTGGGAGGTATAATAATATTATTATGTTAAATCAGGAGTTATTAGACATTGTTATAATAGAATGTCACTTTGAAATGCATATTATAGCATAGTATAAGGGTATAGTATAATTAATGATAATTTTATTAGAAAGAAAGGGTCAGTATATGGAGTTGGAGTAAGTGGATAGTAAAGCATGATATAATCTGTTATGAATTTGGGTTTTATTATGAAGAAGTCAAAGGGGAAGGGGGGGTGAGGGGGGTTAGGGAGGAGGGGGGGAAAAAG